CAACACCTGAAGGTCTGGCGTTCGCACCCTGCAACAGCACCATCCTCGACACCCTGCTGCTAGCCGTTCCGCCCACTCCCCGGCGTACACCATCCTCCCCTCCCTCGTGACCGAGCACAATATTTCTGTCCATGTCTATTCCGGCGACAATGACCTGCTTCTCAACCACCTCGGCACAGAATTGGTCCTGCAGAACATGACCTGGCGCGGCGCGCAGGGCTTCTCGCGGAAACCCAGTCGAATCTTCTATGCAGATGACGCGGCGCCTGCCTTGTTTAGTTCTGGCGCTTGTGATGTCGACGTCAGCCACGATTCGACTGCTCGGTCAGAAGTAGGGCAGCTTTGTGTCCCGGCGGGCATTTGGGCCTCGGAACGCGGAGTCACCTACCATCTCTTCCGAGGCGCTGGGCATAGCGTGTTCATGAAGAAGCCACGGGAGATGTTCGCCTACGTGCGGGATGTTGTCGTTGCGGATGTGAATGGTTGACTTGTGGCACACCCTAGCCAATCTTCATAACTTGTCCATCTACAATCAGAAAATACAGAAGACTCTCATTTTAGATAGCAAAAGAGTTCATCATGTGATCCACTATCCGTAATGAAATTGAGACGGTACATCTATTCGCATTTCCTTCCCATCATCCATTCATGAAACCAAGCAGACACGCACGCTATGCAAAGATTTTGTAAAAATACAGATCAAACGCTAAATCACAACTCCAAGTTCCTTTCACCTCTAACGAAATCCTTTTCCTTTTAATTCCCATTTCTTTTGGCCCTTTTTTTTGGTGAAAAGAACGAGACGAACAAGAATGCAAGAACAAGATAAAAAAGTTCAGAGGACGAGACATTCGAGATCAAGATCTGAAAACTATGTAGCTGTACAAGTGAGAAATGTAGTTGGTGTAAGCGGGCATAATAAGTGCCGAAGCAGGACCTTGCATAGCAGCACGTTTGTCTAAGTGGACGAGCATGTCCAACGTGGGACGGCGACGCATCTTCCCGGGTTTATAGGGAAAATCACCTCCGAGATAGAAGAGCCAACTGTACCATCTCAACGCCGACTGAAGAAAGGTGCTTGGTTGGGCATCGAGAGGAGTGAGTCCGCCCGCTGAAATACGTCGCCCTCGAAGAATTTGTCACTATATGCGCTAGCAGGGGTTGATGGCACTGTTGCCTGCGCGGCAGGACCAAGAGCAGCGCTCAAGGGGGTAGCAGGAAGGTGAGCAGATTGCGGGGAGAGATTTGAGTTGACGTGTAACATGTTGGAACCGGACGCGGATGTTTGATGTTGTGTATGCTGCGATTGCAGCGGCGGTCCGTATATGTTTCCAGGTCCGTTTGCAGGGGTCATGTCGGTGAGGTACGACCATGGAGAAGCTTCGATCAGCCGACTAGCTTCCCTGCTGGCCCTCTGAACTGGGCGGAGGACAACAATGATGTCAGAAGGTAACAGGTGCATGCTTCTGACTTCTTTCATATCAGTCACAAGATCAACGAATGACTGCATGAACGCTTTGCACAATTGCCAGAACTCGCGCTGGTTGCGCATCCCCCCGCCCGGCTCTTTTACCTTCATGTTGGAAAGACGCAGCCCGAGCGCCTCAGAGACTTCAAGGCAGACACGGCAACGGCGAATGATGTTGTTCCAGAGCATTTGAAGCCCTTCAGATTCTCGACTTTGTTCCGCTAGTTCGAGACATCGCACGAACTGGCGGCGCGCTAGTGGCAGCGCCTGAAGGGCAGCAGTGTATGCAGCAGATAACTGGTAAAATATCTTCTCAAAAATACGCTCCTCCTCAATCTCGTCCAAGCCAGTCAGTGGGTTAATTCGGGGTACTACTGAGGTCGGTATCGGGGGGAATGTTTCCCCTGAACGGGGCGTCGCAAGTGATGAAGGCACGGATGAGTTAATGAGGTTGGACCGGCTGCTTGACCGGCTCCGCGCTCCCAGGCTATAAGGTGTTGATGCAAAACCTGGGGAGCTAACCGCTGACTGATAGTTCGCCGCTGCGGGTAAGGGCCCATTAGTGGTGATTCGAGGGTGTTGTATCGTGGTATCGCTCCTGTAGCGGCGCACTGACATGGACCGATCACCGCGTGTCGGAGTCACGGTCGGCCCACAGAATCGATCCGACAGGACAGGCTCTTTAGTGATTGCGGTCACCGGTGTCTTTCCTGCCGAAAGCCGCTTCTCAGATTGCAGCGGAACCCCCAAACTCACGCAGGCGTTGCGAAGCTCAATGATACTCCCGTGGATCATGAGCATGAGGGAACGAACGTAGCGCGAATCGCCGTTGGCCACAATCCTTTCAAGACTATTCCGTAGCTGCGTTCCCACGTGGCTATAAGCCACGATACATGTTTCGCATTCTCGCTTGACAGCTTCGTTCGTCAGCTTGAGCACATCCTGATCGTCCTGTCGAGAACTCTCCGCGATCTCGAGAGCTTCATTGAGTCGATCAACGTGTGTGGACGCATTATAGAAGACGATCTCCAAACTATTCCGCCGGGAGTCATCACGTTTTATGACGTTTATCACAGCTGATACGTGAGACTGAACTTGGAAAAGGGCAAATAGAATGCCCTTGGCACTCTCAATTACCGGGTCTCGGGCTTCCCTCTCGCCCTTGTGTTCTGGCAAACTCGACATTCGATTCACAAACCCGTCTTTCAAGCGCCTGCGCTCCCGCGGGCTACTTGGACTAGAGGAATTGCTACCGCCAGCGTTGCCCACTGGTCGTGACCTGAGAATGGAGCCATGGCTGAGTCCACGCAAGTGACTGTTTCGATAAGGTCGTATTTCATCGAGGGTTCCCAAGTCAGTGTTCTTTCGCGTAATGACTCCCATCCGCTTGTTGCGTGCGGCGAACGATGCTTGGATGATGCCTTCGCTGTTGCTTCGGTTGCGTTCGCTCACTCCATGGTATGGGCTTGCGCCGGGTCGTTGAAGGATACCACTATGGAAGATCGGCCCTTGTCCAGAGGCTATACGGTAATGGGATTTGAGCGGAATAGGTGGCGGTCTCGCAAAGGACGGTGACTTGGGATCGGAGCTTTCACCTGTGCTAGGGATAACAGGGAACCGGCTACTAAGCTTGCGTCTGACAGGCTTTGGAGTATCGAGAACACCCTCGCTTTAAACTGTCAGCTGAAGCCGTCAGAAGTATTGTCAAAATCTACTGTACCTTGACTCGCTTCCTCGGTCTTGCTCATTAGTCTGGCGAGTTTTGAGGAATCTTTTCAGTTCTGCGGTAACCGCAACTTCCTTCTCATTGTCTGTCATGGCGGACGGGGCGATTTCGGTCTCCGAGGTCTCGAGAACTCGTCGTAAGGGATACCGTAGCGGGTTACCCGCAACCTTCAAGATCTGGAGTTTGTTCATTTCCGAGATTCCAATTGGCAAATCATCTAATCGATTCTGCATAATCGAAAGTACACGAAGCGAAGACAGTCTCTTTATCTCTTCAGGAATGTGGCTGATTTTGTTGCGACTGAGATCTAATATCTCGAGGAGCGGCAGTTTGTACACCTAAGATACCAGTTAGAACTTGGGTAGTTTATGAAACAGATTCTCTGACGATACGTACTCCCCTGGGAAATTCCCGAAAATTGTTCGCTCTGATGTTCAGATAACGGAGGTGAGAGCACTCGGCGAAACGATAAGGAATGTGGAAGAGATGATTATTTGACAAAGACAACCTGAGAGCCATCAGTTTCCGACAATGGGATATCGATCATGGTTTCCATGTAGCCTTCTGAATGAAAGCCTTTTATGCATAGCCGCACATACCTTTCGACTTCGTCTTTGATCGCATCCACCACGGCTTCGGGAATACGAACGATGTTAGAGTGGCCCAGATCAATGGTCAATTTGGGCTTGACCACATCACTGACAGCCTCACTTCCTGCTAATGAGCGTTTTGTCTCCAGTATTCCATTCTCAACTGCACGGCGAGCTAGCTCGATGGTTTCCTCTTGAGTGAGAAACCGCGGTCCTGAGGAATGCTTGTTGTTACTGCTGCCATTTTCATCCTGATTCTCGTGGGAATGAGATATTTCGTCATCGCTTTTCGTCGCTTCGTCGTTGTGCGAAGACGACGATGATGAGGGAATGTTTTGCTCCGGAGTCCTTCTGTTTCCATCGTCCTCGTCGACATCACCACGATATGAGTGAGGCATCCTAATCGGATCTTCGGACCGAACCATTGTCGAGAGCATCTCGGACGACCGATTGAGTAGAGAAAAAGAGATTATAAACTCGAATGTCGTCTGTTACGTCAACGCGGGATCGATTGCTTGCAACCATGAATCAAATTGTCTGGAATAGCCGAAGATTTGGATGCGGGCAGAGACCCAGCATGGCCAATGAATTTTGCTTCAAAACAAGAAGGAGACCGTAGAGAACAATATTTGCCGGTCGTGTTGCAGCAGGTTTGGTCGCGAAAATCAACCTCGGCGTGAAACGGAGCTCGATAGTTTTCGGCCGATCTCGAATCGACAAGTATTCGCGCACGAGGAAGCTAGATAGCACAGAAAAGTTGAGAATCTATTATTCTGTTAGATAGGGCTGACAGTTTGACAATTAAAATCGGACTCCCTGAAGTGGCTCACAGGTGAGGGTTTCAGGCTGAGAAACAGCGTTGTGATCATGTCATGCCAACCGGGAACAGAAAGGTGAAACGCGGAGTAGGAGGCGCAACTGCCTGCAGGAGACGCCACCACAAGCCGGGTCAATTAATCCTGGACATAGAACCAGCTATCAGAAGGAGAAGACGACAAGCTTACGAGTGATCAAGGATGACATCGATAACCTTTGTGCCATGATAGTGGGAACAGCCAGAGTTGAACGAAGCGATAACTGAAAGACGGGGAGATTCTACGGCGCGATAAGTCGCGCTGTGTGATTGGCTGAACAGCCTTGCCTTCACTACCTAGGTATTTCGCCCAAATCCTGCACTGCTATTTAAAGGAAAAATATACACAATATTATGTAGAAAGACAGGATCATTGTGGCTGAGTATATGTTATTGCCGATGTGTGAAAAATACATACAATGCGTAGTAAGGATGACGTTAAAAAGATAAGAGGTCGAAACGAAAGCGCAAAGATGGACCAAATTCTAGTAATATACATGACGTGTTTAGGCAACAATACCTCCAGTTCGGTTGCGAGGAGTATGAGGCTACTGATAATCTCTTCTTGGGAAAATGTATTATACCGGCACTGGCACCTTTTCTTCCAGCTCTTCCACAGCATCATCGGCGGCGGCAATCTCAGGAGCACCGGTAAATGCTGCCGTTCTCTGGTCCAGCAATTGCGCTTCTGTCTTGGCCCATGCCTTCCAACGCTCGTACTCTTGGTTCTCCAGTTCCATGCCAACTTCCAGGAGAGAGGGCCCGAAGGTCGCTCCCGTTGCTTCCGCCTCCTCTGCGGCGACTCGTCGTTCAATATCTTCTTGTAGTCGTAGTCGGTAGAACTCGCGACGGGCAATATCATAAGCAGCGCTCTTTGTCATATCGGGAACATTGTTTAAAAGCCAGAGCTGGCGTTGAACGACACTGTTGAAATGGAAGAAGAATGGTAAGCATACGTGCTTGACTAACCATTGGGGCGCATGCATCCCAAGCAATTGCGTTGCATGGCACATACCTTTCACCGTCCAATCTCTTCCCTGGCTGCTGGAGCCGGCTCCAGTCATAATGTTCGGAATCCTTGCCGGTGCTTTCGACGAGGACCCGGGGTCTAGCAAGTTCCCAAGGGTGATCACGGAAGAATTCCCGTCGCAGCTGATCTTCCTCGTATTTGATTTCAGTCGGCAAGAACATACGACTTGCCTTCTTTGGCTTGATTCGTTTCTCTTGAACCTCGAGGACGACCTGCGGCTTCGAGGCACCGGGAAGCGTCTTCACGCGCTGTCGGACGAGCTGATGCTGAGCTGGTTGGTTTCGCACAAGGACCTGAGCAGGTGGAATATCGGCCACTACATCAAGCCACTTTGGGGGAGCGCGAATCTTGCCAGCCGCATGCTGTCGCAATGCTGTTTGGCGAACTCGGAGTGCTGTGAAATTGTATTTGCCCATAGTGGCTGGGAGCGACGGCCTCGGTAGGCCCTTTCGAATGTGTAATTTGAGATTTCACGACGACTTCTGTCCAATGTTGGAGGAATACCTCTAGACTTGAGGCCTCTTTTCCCCTATTTTCCGCAACTCGGTGTGCAATTCGGTCGTTCCAGGTCAGGTTCTGATGCTCTGGAGATATCGAGTGAGGGTGTAAAAAAGAGGGATCCTGGGCGGAGAGAGTAATGCGCGCCTCCGATTGGACCGACCGACGGGCTCCGCCCAAGCGCAGAGAAAGTTGAGAAATGCAAGTTCTCCAAGACAATCAACGCAGAAGGGCTTAATAAATTACTCGCTCGCCGGGGAGAGCTTCTATATCATCGCTCAATTACCAATAGGACACTAATTGCATTTGTCTATCTAGCCCCGCCTCATCGAACTCACTGCTCTCCCCTATATCTTGCTGTTCTCCCTTCCACCTTTCCATCTCGTCACTCTCTCTTGCTTGAAGAGCAAGCTGCCCTGCCCTGTCAACCTGCTCGAGAATTCCTCGGGACATGCATGGCTGATCCGATGCCACCATGTCTGCCGTCTCATGCCTCTTCTCAATAGGTCCCAGAGCTCACCCGACGCGGGAATCCGTCCTTTGCAGGCACCGGATACTTACTTTTCCCGCAATTCCCGCTCGATGCCCGTCTCAGATACGCCCTCATCCAGCTACAATGCCTCTATCAAAAGGCTCGGATATCGCCGTATTCGTCCCTCCGTTGCATCTATAGCCGACATTTTCGTCAACTCCTTGGTCATGGCGAGTTTCTGTCGCGATCACTCTCCCCGCAACAGAGGGCTTTCTACAATGGCTGTCAAGACTTCAACCCATAATATGGCTCGTATGAAGGGAAAGAGTCTGGCAACCATCAAGCGGCTCACGTCTGGGAAGCGCCCGGTCCCCTCAAACTCGCCGGTAGAGTGCTTTGGCTTTGACAGATTGCGGACGCAACGAACATTCAACTCGGGTGTCGTGCAGAAGGTTAAGGATGATGACCATGGGGAAGGCTATGGGACTCAGAAGAATGTGTCAGGCTTAGACCAACGGGCTGAAGACCTCGAAGCAGGTCGAAATCAAGGTCATAATAGCCAGTCAGCATTACTTCGCTCGAAGAGAAAGTCATTCCTCGATGATAATGGCCCTTCAAAAGAACCCCATCCTAGCGATTCGGACGAATTCGTTTCCAACCAAAGGAGAGATCAGTTTGATGCACTGGAGGGCCCTATTCATCTTATAGAGCCACTTTCTCCAAAAGAATCAGACGCCTCGAGCTGGGCGGCGCATCCTAAACAGTTGGAACATTTATTAGACCCGAAAGCGTCCGAGCCCGATGCGGACTGTTCAAAGACTCCATCACCACCTCTCAAAGTCGAAAAAGATACCAACAGAGACGCCATTGAATTTCAAGCTGTTGAGAGATTCCTTGAGGCGGTCGAGGATCCTAAAAAAACAAATCAGTATATCTTCCGTCTCTACAGAGACCTTCCGTCGCCCGGTGTGGCGCACCTTTCGAAGCGCACCCGTGGTCTTCTTTTGCGTCGAATGTCCCAGCCTCCCAATCGTCGTTGGGCTGACGCACGCCGCTATCTAGCTATAGTGGAAGATATGATTGCTGCTAAGCTTCCATTGTCACCCGCTTTATGGACATCTGCTATTCACCTGGCAGGAAGGGCGATGGGCCATGTGAAGAAACAAGATCTCGTTCGATCGATCGGCATCTGGCAGCAAATGGAACACTTGGCTGGAATCGAGTCCGACCCGGTGGTTTTCACTATTCTATTTGATATCGCCATCAAAGCGAGTCAGTTCACAGTGGCGGACAGGTTGCTTCAAGAAATGTCAAAGCGCGGCATTGAGTTTCGACGTGCCGGCAAGGTCTCGAAGATTTACTATTATGGAATGCTGCGCGACGTCAACGGTATACATCGGGCATTCGATGACTTTCTAGCAGCAGGGGAAATCGTGGATACGGCGGTCCTCAATTGTCTAATAACATCGTTCATCAGGGCTGGTAAGATCCGGATCGCGGAATCGCTGTACGAACGGATGATGCAGGCGCAGGCGGCTGCTCGACTAGCTGGAGATACTGATCACAAGGGGGTGTCGTCGACTCACCAACCGGCGCTTGCTTCGGAATTGGTGTTGTACCGGAAAGCAGCCAAGGAGCTCAATCGTGCTTTTGAGATGGCAGCTCGTATTAAACACACTTTGCCAGCACACCATCGCGCCCTTCAAGAGTCCATCCCGATGAGCCCGGACACGCGAACATTTCACATCTTTCTTTCTTACCATGCAATTCACTCGGGTAACCTGCAAGCTTTCTCGAAGATCATTGAGGATATGGAGAAGACGTTCGCAATTCCACCTCGCGGTATGATATATCTGTTACTTTTCGAAGGCTTTGCTCGCCATGGCAGAAAGAAGAAGGGTTGGACCGCGGATAAGTTACGGTTCGCTTGGCGATCATATGTTCGTGCCCTTTACGAGTCACGGACAAGGCTGAATGGCGACTTCTCTATCCATCGACCTGCTCTTACTTGGGAGAACCCATTGAAGGCTGACTCCCCGACTGTAATGACAGCGTTGGCGGATTCTTCTCGACCCACAGTTGGCTTGTACACTCCACTACCATCAAGCACTGGCGAGACCAAGGCTGTTTCGAACGTCAGTGAACGGGCGGATGGAAGCGATGTTCCTAGCATGAGTGAGATCAAGGATACCCCAGAAGAAAATGAAGTCCAAGATAACAGCCAACGCATGGACGAAAAAGAAGATGAAACAAACGATGGTGAACAGATTATAGAGCTCGACGATGGTATCGATCTCGACGTTGACGACCTCTTTCTCGCCCCAACAGAAAGCGCGCCGAGTGACTCGGACCCCATGGAGCATGAACTTGGGCGCCGGATCGAGAACGGGGTATTCCTGGGCCGTCGAATGATTCTGCTGATCATTCGGGCATTTGGCACCTGCTGTGGGCCGGAAGAGGTGATGGACGTCTGGTTGTCACTGGAGCGCATCTGGCGGCCTCAAAAACGAAAGTCGCTGGATGTCCTCGCCGTCAAGGAGGAGCTTCGCAAGTATATTAAAGACCTTACTGGGCGCTGATGGCTGATGGCTGGCTGGTAGCAGCAGTGCCTTGTACTTGTATATTATCTATCTGTATATAATACCCTTAGAGTAAAGTCGACTGTGACATATAGACAAACCATCATATGCTTGGCAAGTCCACTTCGATACATGTAGGAAGTCAGCGGATTTGCACTGGGATGGATCCTGCTGTCTTAGAGCAATATCAAACCATGTCAAGCAGTATATTAGTCACGTGATACCGCGTGTCCCTTCTTTCCGGTTTTTTCGCGTCGACGCGTGGATCGAAGATAATTTGGCCGAACAATTGTCCTCATCACTGTCTGTTCTGAACTTACTATTGCTCTCAACGATGCAGAGATGCTTAACGGCGGATTAGAGCGCCGTAAAGTAGACTTGGATTTCTGCTTGCACCGTGTCTTCCGCAAGCAATCATTTCGGTAAGTACCTGGAATGTTACTGCCACATAGGACTCAAGATAACACTGACATGCCACACCTTGATACCAGTCCTCTTCAACGCGAAGTTATAACAGCTGCGATCGAGGGCCATGACGTTTTCTTGCAGGCGTCGACATCCTTTGGAAAGAGCTTGTGCTTCCAGCTGCCTGCTGTCCTCAGTCATGGCGGTTGGTCAACCCTCCACCAGTTTGCGAAATTGGCATTTCACTAAGGCATTTCCTTTGATTACTTATTCTCTCGACAGTGACTGTTGTGGTGTGTCCTCTGCTTGCTTTGATGGTGAGTAGCTCTCTTCAGCCGTTCCCGCCTTTATCAATTTGTTCAGTCCATTAAAGGATGTGTCCTCCAATAGACGGATCAGGTGAATGCACTTCAGGCTCTGGGAGTAGCAGTATCCACCATCAACTCGACGACTCCTTTAGCGGAGAGACGGTTGATTATAGACGATCTTCTTTCTGGGCACCCCAGAACACGTGTTCTTTATGTGACGCCAGAATTATGCCAGACCGTGGCGTTCAGGCGGACTCTTCAGACTATGCATTCACAGGGAGAGTTGATCCGCATAGCAATTGATGAAGCACATTGTATTAGCGAATGGGGCCATGACTTTCGTCCGGCGTACAAACAGCTTTCTTGGTTCAGGCATCATCTGACTGAGCCGCCAGTTCCAATAAGTGCTTTCACGGCCACAGCAACTCCGCGTGTGCGTGCAGATATCATCAACATCCTTGGATTAGAGCCTGCTCGGCTGATGTTATTCAACACTCCCTCTGCTCGGCCGAACATCCACTATGAGATCAGATACCTCGAAGATTTTGCAGAAGACCCGCTTGAGATCGAAGATTTTCAGCTCAACGACCTACACTCGTGGTTAAAATCCATCCGAACGCGACGAGAAGCTAGGCTAGATGCTAAGGACGCCGTACTTCCCCCAATTTTCGGCATCGTCTATGTGCCTTACCGCGTAATTGCTGAACAGCTAGCCACCGCTCTCACGAAAGTGCCTGACGGAAGCATTCGTGCAGTAGCTTATCACGCCGGCCTTTCCTCCGAAGACAGGAATCGTGTGCAGACTGAATGGACCGCGTCAAGGCCTTTGGCTGCAGAGGAAGGGCCCCATCCTTCATTCTATATAATCGTTGCGACTAACGCGTTCGGCATGGGCATTGATAACCCCCACGTCCGCTTTGTGGTCCACTGGACTCCTCCTCGCAGCTTCGAGGGTCTCGTTCAAGAATCTGGCCGTGCAGGCCGAGACGGCCGCGCCGCCGCCTCTCTCATCTATTATAACACCCAAGAACGAGACCGGGTCCTCGACCGCCTCTACAAGGATGTCCAGAACGCCAAGATTCGAGCTGGTATTAAAGGCGACAACAGCAATGAAAACCCGAACTCATCTACAAAAGCCGTACATAACTTACAGAGCCACAGTGCCCGGCTGCAGAGCTTCAAACAGGTTATCCGATACTGCGAAACAGTGACCCAATGCAGACATGAGCTCATCAAGGACTTCTTCGGGGACCAGGAGCTCGAGATGATGGGGTCTCAAGTCGCAGGCCGGAACGTCAAGACCGAGGGAGCGACCACGTCCCCTTGTGACTTTGCCTGTGACTTTTGCAAATATGGCACGGTTGAGCTGAGAAAACGAAAAGCGAGCATGCCCCCTCCGAGCGACCCTTCAGCGTTCATGGACCGCAGCCTTGTTCAGATTCTCCAAAGAATGTTTAGTGATCTCCACTAGAGTGCTTGTTATTGGTGATCTCTGGTACTCTAGATCATGCAGGGACCGGAACATGACTCGGATCTGCTGAAGAACGGAGTGTATGGCTTTGTGAAGACGGTATGTGTAAAGCTGTTCTTTGACAGGTCTTTTGTTTTCTCATAAAATACCAGAGTCTTAGAAGTTTGCTATCAACTAATCAGCATGTTGCGGATCTCCAACCGAGGTCTGGGATTGAGCATAGATTGACAAAATCCCAGTAATAATCTACAAGTCCCGAAGGCCAACCACACTCAATTAATTGACTGCCAAAAGACATTATTTAAGAAACGCGATGGGAACTTTGAAAATTATTCTTCGACAATCAGCTCGACCCATAAAATAAAGGATTTTCCCTTCGAGCGTTCGACTCAACTGTCACTGCTCCGTTATGCCAGGCGAATGTCCTTGGGAACCATGACATAACATTTCTAAAGACCGGGAGGTGGTGGAACCTGATTGAGAACGTTAGTACGAGAACTTCTTCATTGAGCTCGGCTGATGCTTACAGCACTGTAGGTGCCACCGCCAGGAGGCGGCGGAGGGGGAGAGCCAGAGCCAGGAGGTGGCGGGGGTGGGGCCTCGCTAGCTGGAGGTGGTGGTGGAGGGGCAGGACTCTGGGACTGGGAAGACTGCTGTTGCTGCTGTTGTTGGGCCGCCTGTTGGTAGTACTGGTAGTATGCTACGTAGTTCTGGTAGCCACCGTAGGCCGCATAGGGGTCAGCTCCGTAATATTGCGCGTACTGTGCGCTATAGTCAGCCGGGCTTCCGGCACCAGCGGCACCCGACGTTCCTGACACAGCCTGTGCAGGACTAGCCGTGGCAGAGGGCGAGTTGGAGTGTTGCTGGTTATGCTGGCTAGAGTAACCAGCGCCGTAACCGCCTCCATAGTAACGATCACCGCCGCGTTGACCATATCCGCCGTAGCTGTGCTGAGGCGGATTCTCCTTGAAGCGCTGATATTGTTCCCTGACATTGGCGAGAAGATCCTCACAGAGTTCCTTGGCAGCCTGGACATCGTTTGGGTCGGGGCCACTTCATTCAGTCAGTCAATCAAGTCTAATCAGAACGGAGACTAAAATTGTACTTACGCTACGTGCAAGAACATGGGCTCATCACTTTCCCTGCCGGTGCTTGGTTCCAAGAAACCGGAGCCACGACCCTTGATCTGCACCTTGCAACGAGTCTTCTGTTGAATGTGCTTCACATATGCACCGCCTTGTCCGACAACTTGGGCTCGGAGATTGAATCCAGGGATCGGTTCCAGATCAACCGGAATCCGTTCCTCGGGCCATTTACGCTGTACGCAATTAGCGCCTTCTCAGAACTGAACAAGTGAACGAGTCCATACACGGCCGTATTCATCACGCTCAACTGGATCTGGCTCGCGCCGGCGGAATCGTCTCTCGTCAACGAGATTCGGTAGCTCCTTCTGCATCAGGTCGTCGATCAGGGCCACAGCCTTTTCGAGGCCTTCTTTGCTCGTGCTCGTTACGTGGAGGTACAGGGGTGGGTTCTACACAAGACTTATTAGCAATCGTACACTCTGGGGTGAATTGAGGAAGGTTAAGCACATACCGCGGCAGTGGCCATGCTCTTGTCGGGGTAATAGCTTCCTCGGGTAGTGACATCTTGATAATAAGACTTGATGAGCTTCCTTCTTGATCAAAAGTTTCATAATAATATAAATGTGGAATGAAGGCGTACCGGCGCCAGTTTGGTCTTTAATCTAAATGTCACGCAGCGGAGGTCAGCAGATGAAAATGAGGGGTGAGATGCTATGGATGGTTTGATTTGGGTAAGCTTTAGCCACGACCACGAAAAAAGGACACAAATGAAAGGGAAGAGCAAGATGCACGGCTGTAGCGGTAGCCGGCTTGCACAATAGTGCCTGGAATATCAGCAGACGCAAACAGGATTAATTACCATCTTTTGGGTGGAACCCTTGGTCAACGTGTAGCGGTTGCGCAAGTCATTGATTTCAATGTCTTTGATGTAATCGCCGTCAGCAACGTAGATTTCGGGATTCAACTTCTTCGAGTCCGAGGCGGAGGAGGGCGAAGCGGCATTCGGTGCGGGACTGACAGTCTAGAAAGCATACACGGGAACAAGTAAGCAACAGTTGCATCATGAGCACAGGGCCATCTCGATTGCTCACCGAACGTATGGGAGGGACATCGACGTGCTGAATTCCTTTCTTGGCTTGCAACTGGGCGTTGATCTTGGCCGCTGCAGCAGCTGTTCAGATTTCCAAATTGTCAGCTTCTGCGGTAAAGAAAGAGGCTCGAAGCCTGCTTGCGGGTCGTACCTGCTGCAGCTGCGGGATCTACAGAGCCTGATTTCCTCGAATCGTCGGCGCCAGGGCTGAAGGGTTCACGACTGAGAGGACTGCGGGTGCGAGTGGATTCTGGCTGTCGCGAAGAAGGAGACCGAGAGCGACGGTCAAATCGTGAAGCTCGTCGCGGCTCAGGCTCCGTCTGATCGAAGCGAGAGCGTTTGGCACGGCGTTCGTCGTCAGCCATGATAGGCGATAGGTATGAAGGAAGAGGAAGTTTTGCTGTAACTGGACAGGCGCAAATCACAGAAGATGGTCCAGAAGATGGTCCAGAACAAGCCTAAGAGGAGGACCTTAGAAGTCCAAAAGCAACAGAAAGGTTTGGTGGAGTTAAGAGGATCAGCCCAATGGACGCTAGTGTAACAACCAGCACCGCCGGAACACTTTTTTCTCTTCGGTACGGAGTATGGAGAAATGGCCAATCGCAGGGGAGATCTAGTCAAGGAGCATCTAGAGGTCGGTGAGCTCTGAGTGAGGCTTAACGGTTTGCAACCTAGTCAGTGTTATGACAGAGCTCTGCGAAATTTGAGCAGACTAGGTTATTCTTCAGTTATCCTTGAGGACAAGGACACGAATAGAAAGTTGGCGATGTGCATCAGCTCCAGATCACGTGATGATGCGCATACTCCCTGGTTCCCGCTAGTCTAAAGAAAGTCTAGCGGTATTGTCACCCTGGTAAGTGACATACACAGGCTTGAGTCAGCGTCCCCGACGTCGGAAGGCCGCGAGGATAAAATGCGATTTATGACTACCGACACCGACTCCCTCTCGTCCTAAAAAAGACTCCATTGAGTCGGATCAGCCTCTCTTGTTTTGCCTGCCTTCGTCGCAGGTCAATTCGAGAGATCATGTCTTTCCGACGCCCTCTGACGCTGTCATCGGCAGCATCAGCGCCCTTTCTAGCGGTGTCTTCCAAAACCTCTCGAATCGCAGCCAGTCTTCCTCGATTCACCACATCCAGAGCCTCGTCCAGCTCGACCTCGGCATTGGCCTACAAGGCCTTGCATCGTCGCTCGCCTCTTCCCCTGCCTGTTTCCGATGCCTCCCCGCAATGGGACGCCCCTACGGCCGTCTCGTCGATTTTGTACGAGACACCTGTCACACCGACCAATCCTCCAAAGCGTCACATCCTGAACTGCTTGGTGCAGAATGAGCCCGGTGTGCTGTCCCGCGTGTCTGGAATCCTGGCTGCCCGGGGCTTCAACATCGACAGCTTGGTCGTCTGCAACACCGAGGTTGAGGATCTGTCTCGCATGACCATCGTGCTGCAGGGCCAAGACGGTGTCGTCGAGCAGGCGCGCAGACAGCTGGACGACCTCGTCCCCGTCTGGGCCGTCCTCGACTACACTGACTCGGCCCTGGTGCAGCGCGAGCTTCTGCTCGCCAAGGTCAGCATCCTGGGCCCCGAGTTCTTCGAGGAGCTGCTCCAGCACCATCGCGAGATCACCACACCCGGTGACGTCCTGGAAGGGCAGAAGGAGAACAAGGCTGGCGATGCGCAGACCAAGAAGGTCGAGTTTCACCCTCGCCATCTGCCTCCCAGTCAGGCACTGAGGCACAAGCACGAGCATCTTGATGCCATCACCCGCTTGACTCACCAGTTTGGCGGCAAGGTTCTGGACATCAGCACCAACAACTGCATTGTTGAAGTGTAAGCTTATAAATCTACTTCTTTTCTCGCGATCTAGCATCGGCTAACGTTTCGACAGCTCCGCTAAGCCTTCTCGTATCGACTCCTTCCTGAAGCTTATCAGCCCCTTCGGTATTCTAGAGTCCACGCGGACTGGTCTTATGGCCCTTCCTCGTTCTCCTCTTTCTTCTGAGCCCAACGAGGAGCTTGAAAAAGAGGCTGCCGATGTCGTCGATGCTAGCACCCTTCCTCCTGGTTAATTACAATGTCCGATACGAAATCGTCTGCTGTAAAAGGCAAATTTCCTAGTTGTAACTCGAAGCCTGGTCAAATTGACCGTGTTCCTTGGTAACAATCTATAATTGATATGTCTTTTTTCTGGGAATATCAAGTTGATTAGTTCATTCTGAAATTAGTGTCCGGCTTCGTGCTTGTATATCCTAGCGCTTTCTTCCTTGAATTTGATTCATTCCGCTAGTCGCGTGTATAATTCCAATTCAATGCGATCTCAATCCATAGCCTGCTAGCAAATCTGACTAGGTACTGAGGGGAAAGCATACTGTAGAATCGGGCTCATCTACGTGTTCTCAGATCACCCTGCAGTAGAACCCATACCCAAACGCCGACTTTATACCCTAAGAGCGCCAAATAGAGTCCCTTAACCCAAAAACACATACTCCGAATTAGATTTTCACATTGGCCCGAATTCCCTTGCTGTGATAGTCAATTGTGGCTGTATAGTGGCCTACCCGAACGCCGACCGTGGCCATTGCATCAAGTTCAAGTGAACCTCCCAGAGCTCGTTTCAGAGCATCGTAGCCGATGCCATCCGGATTCATCTCGACAGGCAACCGGGGCGTCTTCGAGACTCCTGGGGGCACCTGGAAAGGAACGGAGTAATTAATACTACCGACCTCTTCGTGTTCCGCGTAGTAAGCGTTGGCTTGCACAGACATGATGTCTATCAGCGTCTTCGGGAGAGGCGAAAACAGTGTGAACTCGGCAGTGGATGACCAAAGGTGCAGCTAAGACCACACGTAGATTAGTCGCCTGTTCAAAAAGAAACCTGGTCTGAGAACTATCGGCTCTATGCCAAAAACACATTGCCCACTGGTGGCATGCTAGAACCAATTTGAGGCTCATGAGGGGAAAACGGCTCCTATCAAGGCAGGTAGTACCGTGGCTTCTTGAACGAACCTGGTGTCCCCATTGTCACCATTTGGTGCCTTGGGTGACCCGGGAACGGACATCCTGGGGAGTTGGAACTCGAAGCCCAACTTTGATAACGCTCGCCCGACTTTGGGTAACGCTGGGATAGTTCCCTCATGACCCTGCACCGTCACGGTAATGTTGGACTCTAGACGTTGGTCAGAACCTTGACGATGACATGAATTATTCTCGGTTTTTATATTCTTACCTGAGACACATTTTGATAGAAATTCTCGGCCAGCTTCTATACCATCCTCACCTCCTTCGGACGGCTCCCACATGATATCGACCTGAACTGTCGCATCCGCCTTTGAAGCCACCGCGATGTCTAGGGCCGTGATATGGGCGACCTTAGTTCCATTGTACAACATCATAAAGTCGGCGTAAGGTACTGATGCTGAATATTCCGTGGGATTGGTGACATTCATTCTCGTTTTGACCAGCATGGAAAAATCGGTTGTATGTCCAACTTCGATGGACTCTAGCCGTGGCGTCAATTCATCGAAAGAGCCTGAAAACGGAGCTAAAAAAGGGATCAGTGATCTGTTTCTTTCGGAAGTTATCCTGCAAGTGTACTCACGCTTGACTTGAACAGCTCCCTCGGCCGGTATGGCTCTGACAGCAAACTGGCCAAGCTTCGTTGAGACTTCCGCATCGACCGCTGCAACGACACGTAGGTCAACCGGCTTTCCTTCAAAAATCAGAGATTGGAGGATTTCCGTCAAAGCATCTTCATCAGTAACCCTTAGTGGTGCATCTTTCATCGCAAAGTTTACGAGCAACGCCGGGGAACCGTCTGTATCGTTGATATAACTTGCATTGGCCGGCTGCCACTTTGGAAGATTCATGACTCCAAGCTTTTTCCCATGGTAGAAGACATCGGCATTGGCACGAACATGTGGGATGTCTATGTGCAAATTGATCTGCTCCGGCAATGCAACTAGCACCTTGACCAGGGCCGATATTCTTGGTAGAGATTCCTCTGAGTCTGGCTCAGCGAACGGATCTGGAAGACTGAGATGGACGTCTGACATCGTGTAGTTCTTAACCAAGTTGTCCAGTGCATGTCCTGTAAAGGGCATTGGTACTGTCACACCCTTCAAGATGTCTGCAAGCCAGGGTGGAGTTTCCAGAGACGGGTTATCAGCTCCACGTATGTAGACCGTAGTTGGGCGGCCGTTTATATAGCTCTTGACGAGAAAATCAAGTGGCGAGTCTTCCCTTCCGGGGCACGCTCTTGTCAATTCATCGGCGAGACTTTGCACAGTACCAACTACATTCATGACAGCACTGGTACCAGGTTGGACCTGAAATTCCTTTGTGATCGCATCGGCTACCAAGATGTTGGGGTCCCCTGGCGAGCAATTCGGTACGAGCAGCTCAAACCCGAGCGAGGGTATCGTCAGGGACAAAGGAGAATCAATCGATGCAGTGAGCGACACGTCAAACGCCAATGCGCCACTTCCGCCAGGGATATCCAGGTCATAGACATTCAGCTTCGAGATTTTGACCTCAGGCAAAGCAGGGAACTCTTTATCTATAGACAGTATCAGGCGATTGAGAAACTCTCTGCCAATGATGAAGAACAGCAGCTGGTAGACGGAACTAACCTTTGAATGTCACAGAGTCAGTCAGTATTTGCTCACCCAAGCTCAGTAAACCAGACTTGAGGTGAACAATGGCCTTTCCATTGACCCTGAGCTGACCAAGTTTCCCTTCAATCCAATCGTCCGCCACTGCACGAATACCCACGAGGTCGCCGGCGACCAAATCTGCCAGAAAATCAAGGTTGTTTGTATGACCGTTCTGAACATTCACTTTGATGGAGGGCAGAGAGGCCGTGCCGGCGAGAATATTTCCATAGTCTGGAAGGTAGACCTGTACCTCCGACTGACCCGTTTCCACTTCCCTGCTGATCCAAGTGACCAACCGGCCGAGCGTCCGGACTGACCGCTTCTGAACACGGTCTGCATCCAAGACAAATTTTCCTTGAATTCTGGTTCGCACACCATCCTCGGTGGTCGAATTGATGGAGATATCCGTAGGTTTGAATACTGCGGCTTCTTTTGCATATTCCTTCATGACTGCTGGTGCCACATAAGCGAATACAAGGATGGACATGACAGCCGTCAGCGTGACTAACGCGCAGAGAAATTGCCATCCTCTCCTGCCACTCAAATGCTTGGAATACTTGTGCAAACTGGAGGTCTCAGACGCTGACGATGAAGCTGATGCTCTCCGAGGCGCCGTGCCGTACGCAACAATATCACTATCATCACGACGGACTAAGAGAGGCGTAGACTCTGACGACAACTCGAATGGTCGAATCGGTCGACCTGCGTGAGAGGATGAGCCATCCGTAGACGTCCCCTCGTTGAGCAGAGGTCTGCGTTCTTCGTCAGCCATAATGGCTGGAGGAGTGGGGAAGACAAGCCGAATGTGGAGCGATAGAACGGATAATTATTCAGAGGAGTTGTGGAGATAGAACAAAGAATAGATCTATACGAGTACTATAGAAGTATGCTATCTATAACAATAATGAGATCAAAGATGATAAGAACAAGAATAGGTTGATGGATGGATAGGTAAGGTACCCATACTTGAAGCATCGGATAGACTAAGGTAGGTGATGATCGACGACGTAACTTGTAAGTAGGTAACACCGCCAACAGCCCAATAATAAATTGCTGAGAGGAGCGTCTCCAGTTGTGGAGGAGCTCAACCAACCAGTCCAATAGCTTAGCCAACTATCACTACGTATCAGCTATTTAATAATTGGTATGAGTCGATCCGATAACTATTGGATACACTAAACCGCTTTTATTTTCGACTGAATCATATCCAGGTAAGTAGACTAGGTATGCCTGTGGAATTGTTTGGATAATTTCTCTGAGTCATTCCTTAACTGACTTATATACCACCACATTTACAGCGTCGTCGGTTCTCTCAATTCCATATTTCAATCTCATCCATCATGGCTTGCGGTCTAAAACTGGCTGTCGCCCGATACGGCGCATTGAACGGCCAACACTTGCGTCAACGTGTCTCCCTCAATGGCGTGCGACGATATTCGTCCCAGACTACCCCTCCTACCTCTCCTTTCGCACCTCGCCATTTTCTCTCCATTGCCGATCTGACCCCTACCGAGTTCGCTACCCTCGTCCGCAATGCGTCTTCATACAAACGCTCGATCAAATCGGGCTCCGTGCCTCGGAATCTCCTTGGAGCCCTGAACGGGAAGACCGTGGCCATGATGTTCAGTAAACGGAGTACTCGAACCAGGATTTCGACAGAGGGTGCCGTGGTGCAGATGGGAGGACACCCGATGTTCCTGGGAAAGGATGACATTCAATTGGGTGTTAATGAGTCCCTATACGACACAGCGGTGGTGGTCTCCTCAATGGTTTCTTGCATCGTGGCTCGCGTCGGCAAGCATGCCGAAGTTGCCGACCTCGCGAAGCACTCAACCGTCCCTGTGATTAACGCTCTCTGTGACTCATACCACCCGCTGCAAGCCGTTGCCGATTTCCAGACCATGCACGAAATGTTCACACCCAAGGCTCATGGCCTCTCCAGCCTGGGTCTGGAGGGCTTGAAGATCGCCTGGATCGGCGATGCGAATAACGTTTTGTTTGATATGGCCATTGCGGCAGCCAAGATGGGCATTGACCTGGCCGTTGCCACGCCCAAGGGCTACGAGATTCCTGCCCACATGCTGGAGATCATCCAGAAGGCCGGGGAAGGCGTGTCCAGGCCCGGAAAACTCATCCAGACCAATGTTCCTGAGGAAGCTGTCAAGGACGCGGATGTCCTGGTCACGGACACTTGGGTATCCATGGGACAGGAAGCCGAATCGATCAAGCGGCTCAAGGACTTTGAAGGCTTCCAGATCACAGCCGATCTGGCCAAGCGTGGTGGTGCTAAGGAAGGGTGGAAATTTATGCACTGCTTGCCCCGTCACCCCGAGGAGGTGCATGATGAAGTCTTCTACAGCCAGCGGTCCCTAGTCTTCCCTGAAGCAGAGAACCGGCTGTGGGCTGCGATTTCTGCTATCGAGGCGTTCGTTGTGAACAAGGGGAAAATCGTATGAAAATCGAATAGATTCTACAGAAAAAGCAAGCTGAAATCAAATTAGCAACATTGATCGAATACTATCCCGTCCCAGCTAGACTTGTGTGTAGAGTGCTATATTTCTTATTCCGTCCTATGTTGGCACGGAATTGCTGTATATCATCAGGTGGATATAGTATATAGTGGAGATGTGGAGATTTACCCCAGGTTATGCTTCGTCGATAGTATTTCCACGAGCATGTCACGAGGTCGTACGGAGTACTGCCAGAACCCAAGAATATCGATTCACCAGATTCAGGCTCTGCAATGATGCACTCTATCCGATCCGATCCTAGACCAAAAAAGCCACTCGCAAGAGCTAAGGTCGGTTTGTCGCAGAGCCCACTTTCACATGCCGACAGTCATAGCTCGGGGAGCGGAGAAGGGAGAGTCAGCGAATCCTTGCCGCACCTCCTCCTCGCCTACAGAGTACATCATCCCATATCACCATCAAGCTTGCAAGCTATTAAGAGCTCTTTAAGCTGTCCTCTTCCAGCCCAGAACAGATTCATCAGTCTCTCAGCAGAAACTCTGAATGGATGTACGGCTCTCCTTTCATTTGTATCCCTTCTATCTACTCACTCAGCTTCATAGGGTTCTGCATCCCAAAGCGGGAGCGGATTTCGATCCCGCCGCTCATATCCCTCGCTAAATCATGTTTCGCTCGCACCATTGACAAATCGGTTCCCCATCGACGACGACACAGAGCCAGAGGACTATTTCTCACCACGAGATGAGCGACCTGCCGACACAACGACCCGGACATCCTATCTCTCAAGCTTTTCCGTCCCAGGCACCCCGGGCGTTCTCTCGTATTCCCGCAGCGGATCCCGAGTCCGTCTGCACTCCCGAAGCAAGAGCTCAAGTCGTATCCATCGCAGCGACAGCAGCCTGCAGAGCCAGGACGACGCACAACCCCTGCACCATCACCAACATGCACACGGATCCAAGAAGAAGCACACATCCTCGTCGCGGCATCAGCCGTCCGAGTCAGCCGGACGCCGCGATGCAGAATGGATGCTTCGGGCCGGGATCGCGCTCGCTTCGTCCACGCGAGAGGAAAAAGGACAGAGCTGGCTCGTGAAGCGCGAGAGTTCGACCAGTCTCGTTTCGGAAACAAATCTCGACAGCCCGGTTCTGGCCCGCCGGCCGAGATCCGGGAGGTCTACGCCGGCCGCGCATTCGAGATGGGGATCCCGTGCGGCAAGTCGAAGGAACAGCAGACCCGATCTGGCTATGACGAGCCTCGATACGCTGGCCACTAGATCAGGATCGAATGCTCATGACTCGGCCGGTCACGACGAGGAGACACGCCATTTCGTCCCTGACTTTGTGGATGAGCGTATCCGTGCCGAGATGGCATCCATCCAGCAATTTGAGGACGGGTATGCCTCGGCCTCGGACGAGGAGTCCGACTCGGAGGACGAGATCGACGAGCAGGAACTGCAGCGTTTGACTCGGGAGCGAGGATTCGGTCTGGGCAGTTGGATCGATCGGATGGTCGAGTGGACACTATTCGGTGTCGAGGATCTACCTCTTTCTGCAAATGTCCAGTCCGCCCAGCCAGCAAAGCATTCCGACGCATCCCCAGACGACAATAATGCCCGCGATGATCACTCTTCTGCGGCTGAATTGACCGACGACAACGCTAGCGTGTCGGCTGACGAATCTATAGCTTCGACCGTGGTAGAGAAGCCAGGGGAGAATGGAGGCTGGGAGGATGCAGGGTGGTTTCTCCGTGTCATGAAGCGTGCACTATCATGAGTCTTACAAAGCGCCATTTCCACATTGTGCAATTTTTGTCATGCATTGCTTCTTTTTCTCAACTCGAGCATCACGCATAATTCTCGAGAATATGACTACAAACTTGGCTTCTAGATAATCTGGAGTACCCTCGTTTACTTTTAACATTGATCCGCACTCATCTAAACCAATAATCAACCAAGATTCTGCAGATTCATTCTGAATAAATACATGGCTAATATTACAACCTCTCCACGGTCATTTCCGTTCTATTCCGTCTCACCCTCTAAATGAATTTTTTAAGTCGCTTTTGTGTGCAAGAGGCCAGTCCGCGTACCGACACGTAGCTGGACCACGACAAGTCTAGGATGCCACTGAAGTTCCATAGTGCTGTGCGGCGACAATCATTCTGCTGGTTTAAAAAGCTTGTCTAGACACAATTCCCAATCGACGCATTGTGAATGCGACTTGTTTCATCAAAACCCGAGCATGCTAACCATGCACGGATTGAGAGCATCTGTATCTTTTACTTGACACATAGCCGGCCCATCTGGCACAGTAATTCAGAATATGATCGAAGCCACCGCAATTGAAGATGACACCAAGTTTCAGCCACCAGTATGATCGAGGAGAGCGGGAAAAAGAATGGGCAAAGGGTATACAAGACAGGTAGCGGACATAGGGGACATGGTTGCCGTCAAATGGCACAAAATCCAGGCTCAAAAAGGCGGCCGTAGCAGAAAAGAAACAGAAATGAAGAAGGAAAAGTGAGCAAAATGAATGACGGGAAGGAAAGAAGCTTGCGATGATTCGTGTCGGTGGTGTTATGATGTAGCCTGACAGGCAAGAAGACGCGATAACAGAAGTATTCCCTGTAGCCTCGTGCTCTCTCTCTCTAGGTAACAATAAAAAAAGACGGCGAGCCTGGTTTTCGGAAATATGACACAATAAATAAAGCGCAGTGTCCCTTGCAAACTGTAAACGTCAGGAGATCCTCAACTCTCTAATTCATGCAATAGGTATCGTGATCGTATCATATGTAGGCGTGCACCGTCGAGTAATCCGACAGTAGCTATCGAAAATGACGAGCAAAACCGCAACGCTGCCGCAAGGGTGTATCGGACGAGAAAGACTGCGAGAAGTGCTTCTTTACCAGGGTCCAACTTTGACGGGAGTTCCCAAGCCATAAGTGCCGGAAAGTAACTGTTCCCGGACCGAGACAAGATCCCCACCAGTCGAACTTCCATAGCCTTGGGAGTCTGGGCCGTGCATCCAACCCAAGCTGTTACCGAGCTCGTTAACGGCAGCCTGAAGTCGACCGCCGGCATTCTGGTTGTGCTTCGCCAATTTCTGATCCCATCCACCACACTGTAGCTGAATTCCGCCACCACGCTTCGCCGCCTCTCGGATTACCAGAATCCATGCCTTGCAAATTTCATCATATGCAGAGTCCCGCTCTATGTTGTTCTGTGGTGAGTGCCATCGTGGCAATGCGTGAATGATATCTGTAGCCCCGTCTAGATAACTCAGAGACACGGACGCTTGAGTTTCATGTGGCGGCAAGAAATGCGGTGTAAAATCACTCAGAGCATCCAGCAGATTCCCCAGCGGCTGTCGGACACGGTTGTAGGCATAGTCCGACTCAGGATTGCCACCTAACGGAAATGAGTTTTGTAGAGTCGATTGGTAATTGCGGAGAACCTGAAGAGCAGAGGAAACACTCGGGCGTGGGGACGTGTGAATCACTTCGTCAGCCAAAGCCGGGTGACGCTCGCACATTGACCGTAGTATCCCCCTCAAGGCATCTGTGTCGAGGGTTTCCAGCAGTCGAGGGAGGGAGAGTGGTCTGCCAGAGACGTTGGGGCGGGACCGTTTGAAGGAGCGAGGAGCCGGAAGAGATCGAGGAGTGAAGGCGGGGGAGTTGGTGGGAGAAGCTGACATCCGTCCATCGTGATCATTGCCATCATCATCGGCTTTCCGTTTACGGTTGGTGGGCGTATGAGTAGGGGTAGACACTGGAATAGTCGTCAGCTCCAAATATCGACCCTGTAAACCCCGAAAGTCACTTACTTGGATGTGGAGAGGAGAGACGAGAATACTCGTAGAAGTGTGGAGGCACAGGTGGTGTAGCCACCAAGCTGTTCATGATGGGTCACAAACAGTTGATGGCAAAGAAGTACCAATATCTCTCAGTGGCGGAGGGAAACGAGGATTTCGAGCACAAGAAAGCAGGAGGGCGGGAAAGAGGGATAGATCAAGGGAAAGACAAGATTTCAAAGAAAAGAAAAAGATGGAGAATTAGAGAAAAGAAAGAGGAAGAGAGAGAGGATGTAAGGACGAGTTGAGTTGAGGTGAGGTGAGGTGAGTGGTGGGGAAGGGCGAAAGAAAGAAAAGCGGTGGACTTGCACTTTGCAGGCGGTTGCGGGAGGCAACGCAGGCCGACTGCGCAGGTTTCTGGTCCATGACCCATGACACCATTCATGGTCATTACAAGTGAACTTTCAAGGGACGAGGTTTCATTTCTACAATTATATTTCATGGATGGAAGATTGAGAACACATTTACAAAGTCATACAAACATACGTCGTCCATTCGAGTAGACAGAATCAAACAATGAAATCCTTCTTTTCATTTCCGACGCCAGGGAAATGCGAGACCTCCAATACGACTGTGACCATACGACACATACATGCTCCCTCGCAGAGGTCATAGGAAGAATAAAAAAAATAAAAAAAAAGCAATGAAAATGATATTTACAAGTACAGGGACTGTGCGGCCACAATGTCCCTGCGCACCTTAGTCAGAGCTTCCTCGAATTTGCTCTCGAGTTCCTCGTTACCCATAACCTTGGAGGCTTGCGCCATCTGACGGAGACACTCCTCCAATCGACGGAAGACCCGGATCAAGGATCCTTCATAAACATCGGTCATTCCACTAGTGAGAAAAGCAAGTTAGTTTCCGAAGTAGACTTTGACTCCAGAGTGCCGACAGATAGACGACTTACCAAATATCAGCAAAGGATTTGCCGTTCGCCCATTCGTAGATGACCTCCATAAGCTCCCAGTGGAAACTGTTTACATATTCCTCCTCGTTGACAGCCAGCTTGGATTCTTGAGAGACTTTGGCAACTATCCGGGCTTGCGCTTGGATTTCCTTTAGGGGCTTCGCCAGCTCGTCCCGCGTCAGAGCAGGAGTTTCCTTGGACTTCTCCTCAAAAACGAATACACTCAATACAGCAGCGATTTGTTCCGGAGTAAGTTTGTTGAAGAAACCGTTGAAAAGAAGCTCGCTGAGCATGAGCTCGTCTCCCGTGCTGATCTCGCAGGCGACTCGTGCCTTCAACTGCACGACTTCGGCCTCGTTGATGAAACCGAACCGACGAAGTACACGCTTACGGCACTTGAGCTCATCAAGCTGCATGATGGACATGGCCTCGGAAATCTTCTTCTTCGTCTCCTTAATCTTTGTTCCCAACTCCACCTTCTCGGAATATTGCTCGTAAAGTTCTGGTAGGCGGGGTGAGTTGTGCAGTGGGTTGGAAAGCAAACGAGACTCGAGGACCTCCACTTTCTGTGATGATCGTCAGCAGTGCACATAATACAAAGTAAATGCAGAAGAAGATAGATGTTCTTACCCTGAGTAGTTTCTTGAAACTTTCGTCCTTGATATTCATATCCTCAATCGGGTCAAGTGTAGCAATGCCGTCAGGGAAGCGCTTATGGATCTCAGCAAGAGATTTCTTGACTCCATTTTTCGCTTCTTTTGGATTCAGGTCCTTGGGAAGCTTCATGCGTACATGCGAGATGGCACGGATGCATTCGGTAAGGACTGGAACGACCTCCATCCGAGAGTTGTCCCCATCTTTCACTGGCCTGACTCCCGACGGTAACTCCTCAAATGTCTTTGTGGCCACAGACGGCCCTTCGGCAATATTGAGCAGAACATCGACGACATATCTCTTGTCACGAGGGATCTCCTCCGTTGAATTCTTCGGTGGCTTCCGTTGTTTGTAATTGACAACCACACCCCATCCGAAGTCTTTGTCTTTGTGCTTGATGTGCACTAAACGACCCGGAGACATAAAGGCCAAAGAATAATCTGGATGGCTGATGACTGCTTGTATGTCATCTGCAAACTTGTCGAGCTGCGTCCTTAGTTCGTAGTATTCGCGAATGGTGCCTTCGTCAGAAATGGTCATGTTGGCCCTCTTCTCTTCAAATTCCTGGAGTTCTGCAATGGGGTTAGCACAAATATCCTCCTTCCAGTTATCAAGTGAATAAGCATACGTTTCTCAAGATCGGCGACACCGGCCGTGTTTTGGAATTGGTAGAAGCATCTCTCGAGCATGAACTCGGGCGAGATGCCCTCCACACGCATCAGGTTCAGTATCATATTGTAACCCAAATGGAAAGCCGAGTTGAGCCTATCCTGCTCTCCGCGCACAATCTCCTTCGCCACCGCAGGATCCATCTCTTCACCAATCATCATGATCACGATACCTCGGTCATCAAGACCTCTTCGACCAGCTCGGCCAGACATCTGGACGAATTCGGACGGCGTCACCCAGCGTTGGCTAAAACCGTCAAATTTCCGGACGCTCGTGAAAACCACAGTCTTTGCAGGCATGTTCAGACCGATTGAGAATGTTTCCGTCGCGAACAGCACCTTGATAAGTCCTTCTTGGAAGAGAATCTCAATGGTTTCTTTGAGAATAGGAAGCAACCCAGAATGATGGACACCGATACCTCTCCGAAGCAGAGGTAGAATGTTTTGAATTTGAGGCAGGTTCCTGTCTTCTTCGGAAAGCATCTCGATAGCGCTGTTGAAAACCTTGGAAACCATTTCCTTCTCCGAATCATCATTGAAAGCCAAAGTACTCATCTTGAGAGCGCACGCCTCGCATTCGCGTTTGCTGAAACTGAAGACAATGACGGGGTTGAGGTTCTTCAGCATGATCATTTTCACAATCTTGTAAATGTCGCTCGGGCCTTCATTTCCGCCCTTATTCAACCTCTTGTCTTTACCCTTTCCCTTCCTCTTGGCCATAGCATCAGACGGGTCATCTCCCTTCTTGTCTGCGATGCTGCCCATTGCCTTTTGGAAGTTCTCTTCCCGGAACGCCCCTTTTTCGTCGACGACGAGGAAGATCCCCTCGCCACCGGCAGGGAAGAAGTAGTGTTGTAGAGGGGTAGGTCTGAAATCAGTATATACGACGTGACAGGGTTGGTTGTGCATCTTGACGACCCATTCGGCGAACTGCATAGCATTGGG